AGCCACACCTGTAGACTGTGTGTGTGTGTGTGTGTGTGTGTGTGTGTGTGTTTTGAGTGGGAGTCTCACTCTGTCGCCCAGGCTAGAGTGCAGTGTCACAATCACGGCCACCCCATGACATGTTGCCCAGGCTACTCTTGAACCCCTTGGCTCAGGCAGTCCTCTCATCTCTGTCTCCCAAAGTGCTGGGATTATAGGTGTGTGCCACCATGTCTGGCTGGACAATGTATATTTAATGGTTTTTTGTTTTTTTTCTCGAGTTTGAGTCTCACTCTGTCACCCAGGCTGGAGTTCAGTGGCACACTTATGGCCCCCCCTAGCATTGACATGCTGGGCTCTGGAGATCCTTCCACCTTAGCCTAGCCAGAACTATAGATGTGCACTACCACACCCGGCTAACTTTTTATTTATTGTAGAGACGAGGTCTTGCCACGTTGCCCGGGTGGGTCTCGAACCCGCAGGATCAGGCAATCCACTCGCCTTGGCCTCCCAAAGTGCTGGGATTACAGGCTGAGCCACTGAGCCCGGCCTATTTAATGGTCTTATAAAATATAGAGCTAGTCTCAAACTTCTAGCTTCTAAAACTCATGTTGAGACCAAACGGCTCCTGATCCTTTCTAAAAGTGGCTCTTTATCTATCCCTACTGGAGCCTTGTAAAATATACTGTTTGTCTTCGCTTTTCTGAAATATCTGGATATTGTGTCTTGGGGTAGGTATGTTTCCATTCTTTTTTTTTTTTTTTTTTTTTTTTATTTAATGGGAACTCAGTGAACCCTTCCAATTTTGCAAGCAATGTCCTTCAGTTTGGGTAGTTTTCTTGAATTACTCTAAGTTTCCTTCCCCTCTTTTCTCTATTCTCTCTTTCTGGAACTCCTGATTGTTTGTTTATTGGACCTTTTAACTGCTTCTCTAATTTTCCTATGTTTCTTTTACATCTCTCACTTTGTGTTACTATTCTATCTTCTGGGATATCTCCTCCACCTTTTCTTCCGTCCAGCCAGTTCTGCTTCCAACAGTATCTCATAGTCTCAATTCTCTTTCTTTGGAGGATTTTGCTGTGTAAGTCTAATTGGTTCTTGTCTTTCTCCATTGTTAGCATCTGATTTTGTTTTCTTGAATCCTCTTTTTTTTTTTTTTGAGTTGGAGTCTCTGTCACCCAGACTGGAGTGCAGTGGCCGCTCCCGGCCACCGCAGCCTTGCCTGCTGGGCTCCGGCGATCCTTCTGCCTCAGCCTTCCAAGTAGCCAGAATTACAGGCATGCGCTACCAGGCCCGGCTGATTTTTTGATTTATTGTAGAGATGAGGTCTCGCTGCCCAGGTGGGTCTCGAACCCGCGGGCTCAAGCAGTCCACTCACCTCAGCCTCTCAAAGGTGCAGGATTACAGTCTGAGCCACCGAGCCCGGCTTTGAATCCTCTTAGTCAGCTACTTTTTCTCTATTTCCTTTCTGGTTTCCAAATTTTTATATTGCCTTCTGTCTCAGTTTTTCTTATTGGTTTGTGTTTTTAAAAATGTGCTTTGTCATAGTTTAGAGTTTTAGGAGGCAGTGAAGTTTGGTATGTGTGTTTATATTGTATTTTACAAAAACACTATTCTTTTCTTTTAATCACTCAGTTGCCTAACTACTCTGTTTTTCTACTCCCTTGCTGCCCTTCGACATTTTCATCTTATTCTTCCCATCTCTTAGAGGCAAATGTTCATCACAGTTCCATCTTCTTTTTGGTCTCACACAGTACACTTCCTTCAGCTTTATGTTTTTGAAAATGAAATATTTCTTCTCATACTCCTTTGTTTTCTATGCTCCTTGAAGTGAGGTACATAAACTCTCCACTCGTTTGGAGACAGGTGGCATAACAGATCTCATCCCATTTTACAAACTCTGCCTTTTTCTAAGATCTTGGCTGTTTTCAGGGTTGTCACCACTGCCCTTTCTTTGTGGCATGTTTCAGTGATACTAAACTACTTGCTGCTACTCTGATTCTCTCTAAGCATGCCAGACCTTGCCTGTGCTGCTGTAGTTTGCATACGCTGCTTCCACTTCCTGGGGGGTCGCATGTAACTACTGACTCTCTCCCCAGTGCCTCCCTCTCTTCCTGACTAGCTTAAGTCTTCAGCATCTAGGTGACCCTCTGAAGCATCCTTTTATGCAACGTCAAGCTTTGTAGGTATAGCTGGTTGTCTCCTCTGTTTATAGTACTCAGAATGCTGTACGGGTTGAGCATCCCTATTCCAAAAATCTGAAATCCAAAATGCTCTAAAACTCGAACTTTGAGTGCTGCCAGATGCCACAAGTAGAAAATTGCACACCTCACCTCATATGACGGGTCACAGTCAAAATGCAGGTGCACAACCCAGTTTATTCAGTGTCCCCAAGTGAAAAAAGACATTCTGTTGATGCCACTGTGCTGCTTAGTTACCTTGAACACGTCATTTTTTCATAGTATCCATGGCATTTTTTTTTTTTTTTTACTGTTAAGAACTTATGTGTGAATAAGCATAAGGAAGGGATCATTTATTGGTAGTATAGCCATTCAGTCAGGAGTCATTCCTCAACCTTCTGCCACTGCATCACTGCAACAATCTTGCCTACCCTGCTGTCCACTAGTGACTTGATCCTTGTTAAATTCAGTAGATGTTTCTCAACTTTACCTTACTAGACCTCTGCAGGTTTTGAGACTTTGCCATCCCGCCTTGTTTTGAAAGTCCTTCTCTTGACCATCTGTGTCTTGTGTGCACATCTGCTCTCTTGACTCAATTACGGTGTAATGCTGATCACAGTTCATCTGCGTCTTCACTCTCTTGAGCTTCAGTGTTACTCAACTTGCATCAGCCATGCCCACTTAGGTATCTCAGAGGTCCCAAAAACTCAGCCTACACAGAAGGGAGCTGTCACTTTCCTGTTCTCCCAGATCTTTTCCTCCCACCTTGTTTCTTATTTCAGCGAATAATGCTGTTATTATCCTGTTACTTGAGGCAGGAATCATGATTTTTTATTTCTTCTTCTTTGCTCCTGGTAGTCAGTCACCAAGAGCTGTTGACTCTGGCTCCTACCTCTCTTCCCTTATAGCAGAGGTCCCCTACCTTTTTGGCATCAGGGACTGGTTTTGTGGAAGACAGTTTTTCCATGGACAGAGTGGGGAGCATTCAAGCACTTTACATGTATTGCACACTTAATTTCTATTATGATTACATTGTAATATATAGTGAAATAATTACACAACTCACCATAATGCAGAATCTGTGGGAGCCCTGAGCTTGTTTTCCTGCAACTAGACGGTCCCATCTGAGGTGATGGGAGACAGTGACACTCGAAGTGTGTTGATCTCCATTCTACTCTGTAATCTCGCTTTGGTTGCTGCCACTGCAGAAGACCCTGCTTCAGAAAGATTGGATGTTGGGAATGGAAGCAGGCTTTTCAGTGCTAATGTGACAGGAGGTGGAGCTCAGGCGGTGATGCCAGTGATGAGGAGTGGCTGTAAATACAGATGAAGCTTTGCTTGCTCACCTGCCACTCACCTCCTGCTGTGCAGTCTGGTTCCTAACGGGCCATGGGCTGGTACTGGTCTGTGGCCCAGGGCTTGGGGATGCCTGTCTTACAAGAGCCACCATTCTGTAGTGGCTACCATCACCTCTCTCTGAATAATTGTGATACACCTCACTTTTAACTGTTCTCTCTGCCTCCTGCCTTTATTTACTCCTCCTAAACATTCACAAGGCAACTGAAGGTATATATTTCTCAAATACAATATGATTAAAACTTTCTTTTCAAAAACACCTTCAGAGGAGCCCTTCTTGTTCCTAGAGTAGAAAGACTTCCATGTTCTGCTTCCTGCTTTTATCCCCAGTCCATCTCTGATCGTGTGTAGATGCCTTGCTTTCTCTCACCTCTCATGACTCGATGCTGTATTCCCCCTTGTAACTGATACACACACAGCAGTTTTCAAAGAGTGATTTGGGAACCACTGGGTGTCTCTGAGATTCTTTCAGAGGGTCTGCAAGATCAACTCTTTTTTCCTAATAAGACTGTGGCATTATTTGCTTTGTTTCACTCTTCATTCTAGTGAGTGTACAGTGGATTTCCTTCAGAGATGATATAACGTGTGGTGATGATATAACGTATGGTGATGATGCTGTTTGCTCTGGATATGTGCTTTTGTATTTTGTGGTTTAAAAAGTTCCCACTTAAAACATCTAATCTGGTCAGTATTGATAGATACAACAAACAAAAGCTCCTCAGAGTCTTCGGTAATTTCCAAGAGAGTAAAGGGGTTCTGAGTCAAGAGGTTTGAGAGCAGCCATTTAGGGCTCATTTAGGTGGCAGTTCCTCTGAGAAGTTTTTGCTGGGTCCTCCACCAAAGTAACCTTTGGATAACCTTCTGTGTGGTTTGTGTTTGCCTTATCATGGCTCTTAGCGTGTGGTGTGATGGTGGATTACTTATTTATCTACCTAGGCCAATAGACACAGAAAACTCCATAAAAGAAGGAAGACTTGTATCCACAGTACCTTACACAGTTCTAGATACATAGTAAGTATTCAGTAAACATATGTTTAGTAAAATTCATTGAGGATATTTGGAGATGGTATATTTTAAGTTATACATTACCAGATTATGATAACGATGAGGTTTTAAATTATAATCATTACATGCTTGAGGGTACATTAATTTCTTAACTCTTTTTGACCCACTGATGTCTGAATGGGTTTTAGAAAGCAAGTTTGTGTGTGTTATGTTTATATGTTAGAGCAGAAGGAACCTATTTCTGGGAGTCAGGAGGGCTGAATCTGTCCTCCACAAATACTTGTGGGGAATTGGACGAGTCTTTTTTTTACTTCCCTCATCAAATAATGGGGGATTGGACTAGGTTGTCTAAAAAGTTTTTATTGTGTGACATTATATGATGATATGTGAATGGTGTCAAATGTGTATTAAACATGTGACATATTTATTTATACTTCATTAAAATACATAAATAGATTTATATCTTAATTTTGTTTTTGCAGAAAGGATGATAAAGACTATGCTTTAAAACAAATAGAAGGAACTGGGATCTCTATGTCGGCATGTAGAGAAATAGCAGTAAGTGAAGTTCTTTTTTTCATCATTATTGTCAACTGACTTATAAGTGTCAACTGGATAATTCTCTATTTGTCACGTTAATTGAAAGTTGATAAACTTTTAAAATACCAACTATCTGTAGAACACATTTGTTTTTATAAGGAGAAGTGAGGGGGGGCATGTCATTCTAGCAAAAACTTCTACATAAATTCATTTATTTGGGACAAAATTAATCTCAGTTGTTTATATAAATATGTATTTTCCCAGTAAGTGCCACTTTTCATTGAGTATCATAGAAGTGGTATGTTAGTCCATATAAAGTTAATATTTCTCTTGTGATAGGATGGGACCAATGTCAGTACTGATGTCAAATCTGAATGAAATTGTGTTGTTTGATTTTCATTGTCTGTTCATTTGAGTGTGTAAAAATGTCTGCCTCTTTATTTTGAAAACAGTTTTCCATATTGTAATTAGAGTCTCACTTTGATTCCAAAGGGGAGTATTCTTAATATTAATGTGTTATTTAATAATTATCCATAAACTGATCATTACTTTCTTGAGATTTTACTTCAGTTTTTACTATTATAAAACTATGGGTCCAAATTTGTTTTTTCTGGTTTTAATCAGTATAATCTATAGGACATGTGTTATAATCTTTGCTTGTGTTGCTCTCAGCCCATCTATCTACCCATAGACATAGGCTTTTATGACCTGGAAATGTCAATTTAAACAGTCTTGCTAGCTTAATGGATTCTCTGCCTGTGGGTTTTCAACCACCAGTCATTTATGGTGTACCATGTTGACAGGGACTAGAGCAGGTAAAACTAAAGAAGCAGGACAAGCCAAAGTCTTTGGCCTAAAGTATTTACACTCTACCGAGGAAGGAGACTCATCATCTTATAATAAGAACAGTGTGGGCCAGGCTCGATGGCTCATCCTGTATTCCTAGCATTTTGGGAGGCTGAGGCAAGTGGATTGCCTGAGCCTGCGGGTTCGAGACCAACCTGGACAGCTTGGCGAGACCTCGTCTCTACAATAAATAAAAAATTTGCTGGGCATGGTAGCACGTGCCTATAGTTCTGGCTACTTGGAAGGCTGAGGCCAAAGGATTGCCAGAGCCCATCAGGTCAATGCTGGGGTGGCCGTGAGCATGCCACTGCACTCCAGCCTGGGAGATGGAGTGAGACTCCAACTCCAAAGAAAAAAAAAAGAACGGTGTGGCAGGTGCTGTGATGAAAGCAGATGAGAATGGGAGAGCGGTGTACATCTAACTAGGCAGAAAATCAAGGGAAGAAAGGCTTTGGAGCACATGGGGAAGAGTGAGATGGAGACGACTGTCAACCTTTTTTTGTAAGTAGTTTGACTTATACATTTCTGGAATTCCTTTAACTTAATCTAGTTCAGCGTGTCCACCAGTGAATCTGTCAGTATTCTGTGAGGCTACCTTGTAATTGCATCGGGGGAGGGGGGCAGAGGTGAAGCCCTGAACTCTACCTGTGTACTCACCTCTACTTTCACCTAGCACCTCAGTTTTTATCAGTTTGCAAGAATTTGGTTTTGTGAAAAAGATTTCACGGCTATTAAAACATTGAAATAATTTTGGAATTATTTTCCTTAATGTCTTTATAGTGACTTCAACTCAGCTACACCATACTTATGGCATACATTTAGAATTTATTATCTTTGCTATGTTGTGAAATTTTAATATTAGAACTCAGTGTAGTTTAAGAATGTTGGAGATCTTTTTTTACCCACAAGACACAGTTTTAAATATTAATTTATGCTTTATTTATTTGTACTTTTGAAGTTCAAGTTAAATGTGATATTGGATGTGATAATTGGAATGAACCAAGTTTATGGTGAATGACGTAGTATCAGAAAATAAGATATTTCCCCCCAGCAGAATTAGAAAGACATAGCTGGTTTCTGTAATGGAAATCATTGTATAAATGTATTTAAGCATTTTACATAAAATCCTCAAAAAGGCAAAAAATAACTTCTAAAATGTTAAGTACGAGGATCTACATGCTCTGGGCGGCCCTGTGTGGGATCATGCAGTGCTAAAGTTCATTTCATCACAAAGGAAAGCTAGAATGTTCCCTCAGTGGCAGACATCATCCCCATGGTAGTTGGTACATGTAGTGGCGAAGACCTTTGCTAGATTTCTTGGGCTCTTATCCTGGAAATGCCACTTCCCTAGCTTATAGGACCTCAAGCAGGTTACTTAATTTCTTTGTGTTTCAGTTTTCTCACTTGCAAGTGGGAATAAGAATAATAGTATATCGGAGTGATTTTTGTGAGGCACTCAGAACATGTCTTAGTATAGAGTAAATTCGCAGTAAATGTCAGCTACTCTCAATAAATTTTACTCAGTAAATGTTATCTGTTACAGCCACAGTATGAGAATTGTTTGCTTCCTTGCACTTGTCTCCTACTGGAGATTTCAGTAAAAGGTCTTCGAACATTTGATATCCCTGGGACCTAGCAAAGCATCTTCCACGGTGCCTGGCATGCAGTAGGTACTTACTAGATGTTAGCCCTGCTAAATACTGCACAGCTCCCTGATCCTTTGGAAGTTCTTAAATATAAATATTTACTTAGAGGCAATTCTCTGCTGAGGCGTTCAGTTTCAGCTGCAATCCCTCAGTGACCATTCCCTTTTAATCCCAAAGTGACCTGTTCTCCTAATATGTCTCCCTAAAAAGAAAATCCTAACATGTGGTGTTTTACTTACTCAATAGTAATAGTTAGTTACTGTACTAGTTTGCTAGGGTTGCCATAATGTACTTCTACAGACCACGTGGCTTAAACAACGGAAATTACTTTCTCACAGTAGTGGAGGCTAGAAGTCTCCAATAAAAGTGCTGCCAGAGTTAATTTCCTCTGAAGCTTCTCTACTTGGCTTGCATATGAGCCCCCTCTTCCTGTCTCTTCAGATGGTGATTCCAAAGACACCCCTGGTGTCTCTGTATGTCCTAATCTTCTCAGAAGGACTCTGGCCAGATTGGATTAAGGTGCGCTCTAAGGGCCTCATTTTAATTTAATTGCTTCTTTAAAGGTCTTACTTTCAACTACAGTCACGCATCAGTGACCAGGATATGTTCTGAGAAATGTGTGATTAGACTGATTTTATCCTTGTGTGATCACTTACCTTGTGGAGTGTACTTACCCATACCTAGATAGTCTAGCCTTTTACATACCTAGGCTATGTGGTCTAGCCTGTTCTCCTAGGCTACACACCTGCACAGAATGTGACTGTAAGTGAATATTGCAAGCAGTTGTAACTCAGTGGTATTTGTATATCTAAACACATCTAAATGAAGAAAAGGTACAGTAAAAATATAGTCTCAACATTTTTAAAAAGGTTCACCTAAGGCACTTAGCATGGATGGCGCTTCCAGGACTGGAAGTTACTCTAGGTGGTGAGTGAACGTGGCGGCTAGGACATTGCAGACCACCTCTGTAGATTTTTATAGACATGGGATACTTAGGGTGCAGACAATGTGTTTCTTTTTTAAATAATCAGTTAATCTTAGCATACCATAATTTACTTTTAATTCTGTTTAACTTCTTGACTATTGTAATAACACTTGACTTAAAACACACATTGGATAGCTATACAAAAATATTTTCTTTCTTTATATCTTTATTCTATAAGCTTTCTTCTATTTTTAAAAGTTTTTGTTTTGTTTTGTTTCTTTTACTTTTTACACATTTTTGTTGTTACAATAATTAAGACACACACATAACATATTAGCCTAAGCCTACACAGGGTCATGGGTACCCTTGTCTTCCACATCTTGTCCTACTAGCAGTTCTCCTGGGACAGTAGCACACATTGAGCCAAGCCCTCATCTAGTATAACAATGCCTTCTTCTGGAATACCTCCTCAAGGACCCGTGCAAGGCTGTTGTACAGGCTTTTTTTTTTTAATAAGTAGGGTATTTTCAAGCAAAGAAAAATAGTATGGCATTGTGAATACATAAGTCAGTATGTATGCATTTTGAGGGAACACAGTTCAGCCCCTAACACCATTACTACTATAGTAGTTGTTACTCAATATAAAATCATTACCCTTGGGGATTTGTTGTCTGACTAATCAAATGGATTTTTAAAAAATATTTTATAGAAGTGGATTTTTTTTTTAAGTTGAAGTCTCATTCTGTCACCCAGGCTGGAGTACAGTGGCATGATGATCACTGCTCACTGCAGCCTCGACCTCCTGGGCTCAGGTGATCCTTGCACCTTAGCCTCCCAAGTAGCTAGCTGGGACTACAGGTGCATGCCACCACACCAGGCTAATTTTTTGGTTTTTGTAGAGACAAGGTCTCACTGTGTTACCTAGGCTGGTCTTGAACTCCTGGGCTCAAGTAATTCTCTCGCATCAGCCTCCCGAAGTGCTGGGATCACAGAAGTGAGTCACCTGGCCTGGCCTGGATTGGTTTTATGATGAAAGCAGCCCATAGGTGAGATGACAGAGTGTGACCTCCTTTAGTTTAGTTGTTCCTTTTGTTAATTCATATATTCATTCATTCATATATTCACCAAATACTTACTAAGGGCCTCTAAGGCACCAGGCATTGTGCTAGGAGCCAGTCATGCAGTGAGGAGAATGAATACACAGTGCCTGTCATTGTCAAGTATACCACCCGGCATATATATGTAACACTTGTGTCCGTGGACTGTAAAGAGAACTATTTCTCCAGGATATTTGCTCTTGGGAGGTATTGGTATTAGACTATAGTAACTTTGTGTTTTAAAAGTTAGTTAATTTCAAAACATGTAAGTCCCAGTTCTACTGCTTCCTAGGGGTATAACCTTGAGCAAATTTTTAAACCCCCTTAAACCAAATGCTTTCTCATTTGTAAAATAGGGGTTATATAAATATTTCATAGGATTATTTCATGAATAAGTGAGATAATGCATGTAATATGCTTAATACCACACTTGGCACCTAGGACAAGAGCATAATAAAAAGGCTGCTGCTGTTTTCTCGTTTTAATACAGGAATTGAAACCTCATGTTGGAGGTGAAATTCTGGAGGCATCTAAGAATAACTTTATATGTAGGTTTCTAATTGTAGAGATCTTTTGTCAACTCTTTGGAGTTTGTTATAATTTATACCCTGCCGGTTTCCAGAAAGATTTGAAATTGCTGTCTGTCTTAGGAGTGTGTTCCTTTTGAGGTAATAGAAGAAACACTAGAATAGAATTAAGGCTGCTTTAGCACTAGCTTGGGCTCTTTCAGCCAGCTGGGTAATCCAGGGCGACTGCAAAGCCTGGGCTTTCTTATTAGATAATTTGCCTGGTTTATTAATTAGAAAATGGTCAATTTTAAATACTGGCTTTTAGGTTTCTGAGTTGGTATATGATTTTTAAAGTCTTAGAAGTTTGAAATTATATGCTTTTTTTTGAGTCGAGTCTCACTGTCGCCCAGGCTGTAGTGTAGTGGTGCCATCACGGCTGCAGTGACCTCCTGGGCTCAGGTAATCCTCCTGTGTCAGCCTCCCTAGTGGCTGGGACTACAGGCTTGCGCCACCACACCTGGCTCTGTTTTGATTATTTGTAGAAACAAGGTCTCATTATGTTGCCTAGTCTGGTCTCAAACACCTGAGCTCAAGCAGTTCTCCCACCTCGGCCTCCCAAAATACTGGGATTACAGACGTGAGCCACCAACATCCAGCCTGCTTATTAGATTTTTAAGATTGATGACCACTGGGTTGTATTGCCTTTGAATTATAAATGGTGTAGGGGTTTAGCATTATTTTTGTGGCAAAAACTTTTAATGGGTCTCCTTTGTTTTGCAGTTGCTTCGAGAGCTTAAGCATCCAAACGTCATTTCTCTTCAAAAGGTGTTTCTGTCTCATGCTGATAGGAAAGTATGGCTTCTGTTTGACTACGCTGAACATGACCTCTGGGTAAGGTGAATTGCAGCAGACTTGAGCCATTGGTTTCAGGCAGGGCTTGCTCAGAGTGACTAAAAACAGATGGAGCTCATCTTACTATGAGAATAACATTTTAAAAATAAAAGTGGCTTCCTAGAATGTGGTTGATGCATTACCAGGGCCAGAGTGCTTTCCTTTGTGCTGTTACTTTTTGATCCTGTCAGTTTGGCCTATGTAAGAGATACTAAAGAAAATATTAGAATCTTAATATAAACAGATATTCAGGATTGTTTTGTGCTGATTGATTTTTCTTTTTTTACAAAATAAAAAAGTGACCAAAATAGCAGTTTTGATATAAAATTTGAAAGTAGCATATTTCTTTTTATTCTGTTGTATAAAGAAATATAAAATGTGAAGGCGTATGCCCAAGCAGGAGGACGGGTGTGCTTTATTTGGAAGACCAGACCAAAATCACATGGTCCTGCTGTTATTTGGCCTCTGACACTAGGCAAGTGTCTTAGTGACTCAGAAGCTGTAGCTTCCCCGCCTGTAAAATTAAGACTTTCCTTGCCTTTTTCACAAGGTTTTTCAGAGGAGCAATCTTCTATTTGAAAAGTTTTACAAAAGTAATGTACTATACACAAGTAGGAAACTATTATTAATCATTTTTCAAATGTCATTCACAATTGATATTCAGTATTCTTATTTTCCTCAGCAATAATTCAACGTAGTCAGTTGCCACATTTCAGTCGCTAATAGGCTGCATCTATGATGGTGATCACATAAGACTATAATACTGTATTTTTACCGTACTTTTTTATGTTTAGATATACTTAGCATCTTGTAAAAGCTTCCTACAGTATTCAGAGCAGTCACACATGCTGTGCAGGTGTGTAGCCTAGCAGTAGCAGGCTAGACCACGTAGATGAGGTGTGTAGGAGGCTATCCCGTCTTGGTTTGTGAAAGTATATTCTGTGATGCCTACACAAGGACAGAGTGGCCTAATGTATTTCTCAGAATGTATCCCTGTTGTTAAGAGACACATGATTGTATTGCGCAAACTTGAATTGGCCATAATTTTGCATAGGAAGGATTCTTTGTGGATAAGAGCTCTACTACAAAATGAGACTTGTGTGAAAATAGGTTCTTAGTATCTCTTGTGGCTTTTAGTTATTTTTTGTTGTTTGACCTGTGATAACAATATTTTTAGATACTCAGACTCAGTTAAATGTTAGATTTTCTCAAAAGTCAAATGATTATAGTTTATTAGTTTTATATAGTATAGAAAATGATGCTATATTGAAAAAAATATAATTGTAAAATAAGAATTCAGATTTATCTGGTCTAAATAGCTGAAATAACCAGCCTCAGTATTTTGTAGTTTACTAAGCAGATCGTTTTTAAAATTGATATTTGAGAAAGTCTTGGGTGACTATAGAATTTATTCTTTTATTAAATATAAGTAGTTACATTTTTAAAAATCTGAAACATTATCTTGGGAACAAGTCTTTCTGATATATACAGTGAAAATCTATAGCAGGATAGCCCAAAATCATTCAGAAACATTTCCAAAATTTATGTTTTGGTCAATCTTTTGTAAAGAGCATCTGTTAATACAGATTATAGTTTAAAAACAAACAAACCAAACCGCCCCCCCCCTTTACCTTAACAACTACTTTACTTCCGTGACTACATTTTTTTCTGGTTTTTAAACATTTTATTGATCTCCATATTAATCTGTATTTACTAAATTCACATGGCCATGCTTTTATTGAAATGAATAAGAGAAAAAGCATATACTGTGAAATGCTCATTCTCTGTTTTATGCAACTATTATCCAATTTAATGCAAGTTACAAATTTCTGGGTGTTAGCTTCTATTCTCTTACTTTAAAGGAAATCTAATCTGATCAAATTTTTAAAATCAGCATGGCCAGTAATGAATTAAACACATACCATACTGAAACCTAGCCTAGTTACATAATTTAAACTTAAGACATTTTCTAGGCTGGTTTACAAACCCGTTTGCAGTACACCATAGTAGAGCATAGAAGCTAGTATTGCATTCAGTATAATTTCTAGGAAGCTAGTGTGTAATATTTAATTTTACATGTAGGTACAATGATTATCCTTTAGCAAATTATATTGTATATAATGTTGTATAGTCTATATAGGTAGTTCATTAGCCTTATCATCTCTTTGGTATTTAAGACAAATAAGTATTTTTAATGTTCATTTTTATAAAAACATGATAGTTTAGTTTACTAAAGCCCACTCCTTTATTTTGTTTTCTTATTTTAATTGTGATGTTGGAGTGAATTGGCCAGGGTAAAGCAGCAGGGAGTAACAAAGGAGTGTTGTAGTAGTTAGTTAAATATCACTTAGGAGTTGGTGAGATTTCACTTATTTGTTATACAGCCCTGGAATATAAAGAAAATGACAATAAGACATTCCCCCACGATAGCTTCTTATAGTTTTAAAACATTGGTTATGAAAAAAAGTCACTTGTAATACCCTAATGAAAGTGTTAACTGAAGAAATATATGTGGAATTGATTAACTACTTTGCTTGACCTACATATTTGTACCTTCTTTCTGATTCTGGCAGGATTTCAATTCTTTTAGAAGATTGCTGTATTTTAACCTATTTTTATTAAACTTGGAGAGCTAAAGAATCTCCCTCTTAGGGAGAATAGACTTGATTTTCACATCATATCTTAGGACAGGTGACAGAACTTTCTAGATTAAGTTGCTATATCTCCATTTTGTGTGCTTGCTTTCAAATGCCTTGGCAAAAAGATTGAGAAGAAAATCGAAATAGATTAATGCTGCTGTTAAAGTGTAGATTAATCATACTACATACATGCTTAGTGGTACACTTGACCGCCTTATTAGCTAACTGTTATATATTTTTACCTTGGAAAGTAAAGCTTCTTTACTCATTAATCATTAGTTAGTTCATAGCCATGTCTTACTCTGTATAGCATAAGAAAACAGAAAGTGAAAATGTTAATTTACCATGTTAAATATCTTACTTTTATTCGTATTATGCTTACTGCTGTCCAGAATATGCTTTATATTTACTTACTTGATCAACACTTACTAGTCAAGAGTCGTCTCTGTGCAATATTAGGCACCAGGGTTATGTATAATGGTATGCAAGGCATAGGTAGCTAGCTGCACCTGACTTAGAGATCTTCCAGCGATTTAAGGATACTGTCATTAAGATGAGTAACCTTATCAAGAGAGTTTGAAACTTAAAAAAAAAAACAAAACTTAGGAGGTACATTTTTTTTTTGTAAAGTAATTTTTGTATTTATAAAGTTGTGCTCTGTTTTACTGGCTGTGCTATGTATGGTTATCATTCTGCACACAGAAAGCTTTGATGAATGGTACAAGGCAGTTTTTTCCCCAGTCTTTCAGATTTCTAAATATTTCTGGTATGAACTGATCGTTTACATGTTATTATTTCCTTGTGCTTGTTAATAACCTATGCTATAAATAGGTACCATTTCTATGCTATGTCTACCAGCCAGAAGTATCTATTGAACTTTGTTCTATATGTTTTTCCCTTTCATTTTATTACTACGGAACAAAAAAAAATTCTGTTCTTGAAAATTCCTACCAGATAAACGGGGGTCAAGTATATTTTGAAAGTAATTACATTTGTGGTAAACTTTAAAAATAAAAGCAGAATATTGCCTACTTCTCTATTGTAACCATTTGTTTCCTGAGATACTATCATATACTTAGGAAATGGAATTTTAGTTTCAGTTAGGAAATTTTAAAGTTAAATTATTCAGCAGAATGTGAAATTATATTTTCAGTATCTTTGGGAATCCCTGGGTGTTTCTTTTTCTGTTTAGAAAATATGACACATCAAATTATCTTTCCTCTTTTTTTTTTAACTTCTGGTGATATTTTTTCTTTCAGCATATAATCAAGTTTCACAGAGCTTCTAAAGCAAACAAGAAGCCAGTTCAGTTACCTCGGGGAATGGTGAAGTCACTGTTATATCAGATCCTAGATGGTATTCACTACCTGCATGCTAACTGGGTGTTGCACAGGGATTTGGTAAGTTGATCTGCGGTTGGGTTTAGACTAGAAAGGCGATTGTGCAGTTGGGTGCTTTTCTAGTTGTCTGTAGACGTCAGTACTCTGTGTGGGCCTGCACACCCTAGAGAGGGAGTGAGACTACCGCAGTCTCGCCACATGGCCTAGTGGGGTGCTGTATACACCATGCATCCTGCTTCTCTCACATACACTAGATGGTGTTCATTTCAAGGGAAAAGAAACACATTTGTTTTCTTTTAGTTCGTAAATAAAGCATTGGCAGTGATGTCTGGCAAATTGTGGAAATTTATGTATTTGTGAATAACTTGAAAATAAAACCTTTGGAGTCTAATTTACATATTAGAAGAGGCAAATGTTAATTCAGTTTGCTTGTATTTTAAACCCTTCTATGTTAGTAGCAGCCTATTGACCAGTAGCCTTTATTAATCCTAAGTTGAAGTATATTGTTAGAAGCTTTGCTGTGTTCAGGTGCAGTAAATTTTTAAGCATTTAGAAACTTCAGAAATTAGCTTTCTTACTCTTTATCTTATGTGGTAAAATAGTTTATGCCCTTTAAAAATCCATCTAGTATATTATTATCCATTAAATTTTCATAGACTTAAATTACTTAGACCTCACATTGCCCTTTCTTACTGCATAATTATGTTGTGCTTTTGTAGTTCTTTTCTTCGTGAAGGTAGTACTATAATAAAGTTTATACCAGCACCTTCATTTCAAACGTTTATCAACACAGTGCTGAAAGTAATGATTCTGCCCCTTTGCCCATGAGTACCCAGGATGCCCTGCAGGCTTTGATGCGGAGCCCATCTGGCTCCTTGCGAAGGTGTTCTCCTGACTGACGGTGTCGAGTACGCTAGTCCCTAACTTCAAGTACCCTGCTCCCATGGCTCAGTGCCTGCTTTTGCCCTCTAGCTTCAGGGAGTCACCTTGAAGGACATTTAATGGTGTTTATTTTATCTCCTGCTCTCATATCTACAAAGCATTTAGTCTAGGACCAGTAACACAGCAAAGATTTGGTTGAACTAGTTTCCTTATAAGAACTTTAAAAAAAAAAAGAGAATTAGAATATTTTACTTAGAATGGATTTACAGAACAGAAATAATACATTGACTTTTTATGAAGCTGAAAATACATTTTGGCCTTTGGGGTGGAGACAAGTTAAGGCAAAACGTTTCTACTTTTGAGGTCCCCACCTTTCTCTGTGTTCTCTAAAAGAGATTTTTATGCTCTCTGGCAAAGGGCATTTCTCCCCACAGAATCAGTTAGACTAAGGCAGCTCTACGGTTTCTCTTTCTTGTAAATTTTTTTTTTCACTTTAAAAATAAATACATTTATTCGATAAATACTCACTGATTTTTTAAATCAGTATTTAACTTTTTATATTGATAATGTAAATATATTGGAACCAATTATAGTAGTACTAGTTACACTAATAAAAATATTTATGCTATCTAATTGCTTTTATCTTTTTTTGGTAAAACTCTTTTTACTAATTTTGTTTTGGCAAATTCTCTTTGACTCAGGGATAGTATAGACCAGATTTTTTTGTTTTTGTTTTTGAGTTGGAGTCTCACTCCGTTGCCCAGGCTGTAGTACAGTGGTACACTCACGGCCACCCCAGCGTTGACCTGCTGGGCTCCGGCAGTCCTTCCGCCTCAGCCTTTCAAGTAGCCGGAACTATAGGCGCGTGCTACCACGCCCAGCTAAGTTTTGATTTATTGTAGAGACGAGGTCTTGCCAAGTTGCCCAGACTGGTCTCAAACCCATGGGCTCGGGCAATCCACTTGCCTCGGCCTCCCAAAGTGCTGGGATTACAGGCTGAGCCACTGAGCCCAGCCATAGACCAGATTTTGACAGGAGTCTGTATGTTTTACTGTACATGTGCTAAGAGGTGGGAGGGGACAGCGGAGGGATCCATACACCCTAATGTAGGCAGCAAGATGCATTGGCTGTACACAATTTTAAAATAATTTAAAAAATACTAAAAGTCGTTGCTTTTTATTGTCACTGTATGCTGGCAGTTGTGAGCAACATCAATAATAAAATACTCCTCTTCATTGAGGCAAACCACTCCTACTTCCCCATCCCTCTTGATATGCTACTGCTATCTGTCTACAGTCTATTTATCGGAAATATTTTCTAAACAGTTATGCAGTGTCTACTGCTACCTCCTTTGATTTCCCTATTCTTGTGAGAGTTCCTGTATTTTCTGTTCATGACACCTTAGTGCTTTTTTAAAGCATCCAACCCAGGTATTTCCAACCTGTAGCCCATGGGGCCACATACAGCCCAGGACAGCTAGTATTGTGGCCCCCCACAATCTTTTTAACATCATGTGCTTTTTGTTGTTGTTGGTTTTAGTTGGAGTCTCACTCCATTGCCCAGGCTAGAGTACAGTGGCATGCTCATGGCCACTCCATTGTTGACCTGTTGGGCTCTGGTGATCCTCCTGCCTCAGCCTTCCAAGTAACCGGAACTACAGGCACATGCTACTGCACCTGGCTGATTTTTTATTTATTGTAGAGACGAGGTCTTGTCAAGTTGCCCAGGCTGGTCTCAAACCGGCGGACTCAGGCAATCCACTCACCTCGGCCTCCCAAAGTGCTGGGATTACAGACTGAGCCACCAAACCTGGCCCATCGTGTGTTTTTTAGCATTTATTTTCTTCATGACCCCATTCATAATTCCATTTTTGAAGTTCACAATCATGCCTCATTTGTGACATCACTTTTTGGCAGCACATACATTTGTGAACAGCTGTTTTTAATTATGAAGCACACGAAGAGCAGAATTCAAACAAATATTTCTGACAAGCACCTTGAGAACTTACTAAGAATCAGGACCACTTTCGTTGAACCAGACAAGGATAGATTACTTTTACAAAAAGAAGACCAAATTTCCCCTGTTTTTTATATTGTTTTCATTTTTCTAAAGTTTATAGTGAAAAAAATATGTAAAAAGTCTTGTTGTGTATATACATTAACTGTATTACAGAATTTACGTGTGGCTCAAGGCAATTCCTCTTTACTCAGTGTGACTCAGTAAAACCAAAAGGTTGGACACCCTTGGTCTAACCCTTATGTATGTCGCAGACACAGACCCCACCAAACCATGGTCTCATTAAAATGACAGCCTCTGTCTATTATCCAGAGCTTACTCAGGTGCCCACCTCTTGAAGTCTTCAATTTCTGAAGGATTCATTAGTATCTATATCAAAAAATATATTAATGTGAGTACCTTCCTGCGTACTGAAAATTAAATTTTGGAGTTTTGATGTTATATAATGTTTTAACTATAGCTACATATGATAGTTTCTCCCAAGAATATTGTTCAGAAGCTGTATAACATAACTTTTAAAAAATCTTTTATTCTCAAATATTTATTTGCAAATGAAATATTTACCCTATCAGAATAAATAAAATTAATAGCTCATTATATTCTATGCTTCTTTTCATTCAGATTTAGATAAAATATGTCAATGCTGACTTTAACATAGATTTCTAATGCTGTGAATGGAACCAATTGGTTGAGGTGGTGATTTGCCACAAGAAATGTTATGTAGGAAGGTGGATAATGGGTCCAGATACCCTAAAAACACCAATTTAATAATACCTCAGAATGTTAGTGAAATTTTTGTTTAACAAAATTGGCTTTGTTACTAATAGAAAATACTGGTTTGAGATGGTAGAATTATGAAGGTTTTTGTTTGATACGTATAGTTGAGCTTTTAAAATTGGTATTCCCCCTTAACAAGTATTTATTTTGTAACTATTAACCATCACATAATAGCAGTTTAGTAACTGAAATCTGTCATCCTTGATAGGAAATAGAGGTTTGTTAATTTTGGAACCCTTTTTGGGCTTAGAATGTTAATAAAGTGCATATGTATGGATGTTTTCAGAAAAATTGACTAGAAAGGAAACATAAGCAATATTTATTTTTGTGAGGTAATTCATGGATCCAAGCCCAACTAAAAGGTTAGGTTTTAGAACACTGGAATATGGCTACACAAATTATTGTTCATGCACGTCACTTGTTTGTTCTTAAGTAGAGATAAATAAAAACAGAAACTAAGGTGTGTGTTTAGTTAGTCTTGCTCTTTCTCTCGGTTGATCTCCCCTTTTCTTCTTTCACTCTCCAGCTCTCCTTGGGAAGTGAAAGAGAGATAGACAGAGAGATTAACTGACGGAAAGTTCTTTCATATACTGCACAAGAGACTCCTAATTTTGAAAAGTTTTATTAAACCTACCCAGTTCTCCTGAAGGAGGCTGGCTGCATAGGCACAGGAAATGAACTTGTGCGGCTGCTCTCATGGTCACAGCAGAAACTTGGGCGGTAATAACTCTCTCCCACCCTTGCCAATGTGTTTTAACTTTATGTGGGAGGACTGTCTTTTCAGATAAAAGAGTTCAGATGCCATTGCCAAATCAAACTCTGGCTTCTGCACTAAAGGTATCAAACATGACAAGGTGTTTCATGTCCTTGTATTTGACTGGACTCAGGAAAACCATCACGCTGAATCCAATGAGACCAACAGATGCCTAACTTTTCCTTTATTATTTTTAAAATTTATTTTATTATATAACTAAGTGATCCTGGATATGGATTTTCCTTATTATGAATCACTTAATCATGCTTTCCTCCAGTTTTTAGATTGTGGTTAGATACACATAACATAAATTGTATCACCTTAACCATTTTAAGTGTATAGTGCAGCAGTATTAAATGCGTTCATGATGTTGTGCAGCCATCACTTTCAGCCATCTCCAAAGTTGAAGCTGTGTGTCCATTAAATGAGGACTCCCTGTGCCCACCTCTCCCCCAGCCCTGGCAACCACCATTCTACGTTTTGGTCTTTAGGAATTTGACTACATTAATTACCTCATATAAGTGAAATCATACAGCATTTATCTCTTTGTAACTGGCTTATTTAACTTGGTACAGTGTCCTCAACTCTCATCTTTATGTGTGTGTGTCAGAATTTCTTTCCTTTTTAAAGC